CCCCGACCGCCTCCCACCCCCTCGACCCCATCTACAAAACACCCCCCGGGCCGAGGCCGGGGTAGTTATCTGGTGAGCGGCGCCTCCTCCCGCTGGTCCGGCGAGGCGACGGCGGCCTTGCTGAGCACGGCGGCCGAGTAGGGCAGGAAGCCGCTCTCGGAGCGCTGCCCCGCCGCCGTGCACGGGAAATCGGCGGTCGCGCCGCCCCGTGAGCCCAGAGCCGAGGCCGCCGCCGCCGCCGCCGCTGTCTGGCTGCTGTGGCAGCTGAGGCAGGAGCAGGGCGCCGAGCTCCCCGGTGGCCCCGACCCCGCCGCCGCCGCTGCCGCCGCCGCCGCCGCCGCTGCTGCTGAGGCGGCCGCGCTGCTGTTGAGGCCGGCGGCGGCCGGCGTCTGGTAGAGGCCGGGGTGTCGGAAACTGCAGAGCAGCTCCGGGCGGGAGTAGGGGTGCGAGAGGGCGCGGAAAGTGTCCAGCGGGCGGATGGAGGTGGCGAAGGGGGCGGCGGCGGCGCCCGAGGCAGCGGCGGCAGCGGCGGCGGCTGTGACCCCGACGTGAGGGTAGTAGTGGAGCGGGACGTGGGAATGGAAGGGGTAGGGCAGGCTGCCCGTGGCCGCCGCGTGGGTCATCATGTAGGTGTAGAAGCTGGGGTCGGCCGGGTGGGGCCAGGACATGGCCAGGCGCTGCCGCTTGTCCTTCATCCGCCGATTCTGGAACCACACCTGCGCGGGGAAATAAGTACAACGCGGCCTCAGCTCCGCTCCACTCCTCGCCCCGCCGCATCGGTTCCCACCGCGGATACCTGCGGGCACCCAGCGACACCCACTGCCAACGCTTGTGGGAGACCCCTCTCCCCCCGGAGCAGTCGCCCGTGACCTTGACCGAGGGGAGCGGTGGGTACGGTTCCCCCTTCTACTCGAGGGGGACCCCTTCGATCTGAATAAACCTTTGCCCCTTCGAATCGTCCCCTCCTCCCCACGCAGCACTGTGTCTTCATGGGAATGACTCCCATGCCCGTGTATAATAGCTGCGTTCATTCTCTGCTCTCTTCACTTTCGGAAATAGGCTAAAGCGATAAAAACTGACTAAGAAAATAAGAAAAAAACAACAACCGCAACAAAAAACACCAAACAACAAAAAATAACAGCAATATCAACTTTTTAAAAAGCAAATTAAAAGTGTCGGGTGAGGAGAAGCAAAAGAGCACGAGTGGTGATCAATAGCTACGGGCCCTGCGAGTCCTTCAGCCTGAGAGCGCAGCCCGCCGCGGCCCGGGGGAGCAGGTCACCGCGGGGCTCCGCGGGAAGGCGGCGGCGCGGCGGGGCGCGGCGTACCTTGATGGTGGTCTCGGGGAGGTTGAGGGCGGCGGCCAGCTCGCAGCGCCGCGGCCGCGACACGTAGTTCTCGCGGTAGAATTCCTTCTCCAGGCGGGCGATCTGCTCGCGGGTGAAGGCGGTGCGGTACCGGCGCACCTGGTCTGCCCCCGCCGCCGAGCTGCCCAGCGCGCCGCCGCTGTGCAGGCTGCCGATGCCCCCGGCGGGGGCGGCCGCGGCGGCGGGGGCGCTGGGAGTCGGGCTGCTCTCCGCGTAGCCTGTGGGGCGAGGGCACCGGGGTGAGAGTGAGCGACAGGGTGGCCCCCCGACCCTCCCGACCAGGCCGGACCGGGCCCGCTGAGCCTGTGCTCAAGGCCAGCTGTCATTCTTACAAATCCCTTCTGCTAGCAGAATCGATAAATTTGGGTTCGGAGGTTGGTTATTGGGTTTTCTGCTTGTTTGTTTGGGTTGGTTTTGGTTGTTTGTTTTTGTTTGTTTGGGGTTTTTTAATAACTTCATAACCGCTTTATTCTCAGTAGATAGAGTGGGCTTGGGGACTGCAAGGCAGACGAGCTCAGGGGAGAGCGGACGAGGGCGCGGGCCTGCGAGCATCCCTGTCTAGGCACTAGCCTGTTCGCCCTCGACTGCCGTTCTTTATTTTCGTTTGAGACATAAGAAATAAAAGCAACCATAAAAGCTTTTTTTTTTTTTTTTTTTTTTTTTTTTCCCCCAGCGTTACGTCGAGCATCCCTTCCTCTCTCTGGCACATTTGACAAAAAAGGCATGCACTGTGGCCCCTAGGAAATCCACCGTTTATCTACCTCCACCTCCCCAATAACCTCCAGCAATAATAACAACCACCGTCCATCACCATGCCCCGCAAAGCACGGGGAAGGAGACGAGGCAGTTTCAAACTCCCTAATACAAGCAGAGGAAAAGTGAACAATGCCAAATTACCCCGACCTGGACACGGACAGCACGTTGCATATACACAGAGAAGGACACACACAGACAAACGCGAGCAGTTTTCTCCCATTCCCCCTTTCTCTCTAATTTAATCTATATATGTATATACGTGCATATATAGCTCAAGAGACACCGAGAGCTCCAAGAGCTCGGGAAATACACGGAGAAAGCTTTGCCTAAATATAGGTGGGTGGATATTTGTGCCCACATATATTCTGGATATATATCTACATATCAATGGATTTGGGCATGCACAGACACACACACACACGAAGGCACCCGCACAAGAGCTGCCCGAGCAGTGTGCCTCGGTTATCGGGGTAGCGCAGTAATTGCAATAATATTTTACAGCCTGGAGCTCTGTCTTCGCACAAGAGAGAGCACCGATGCAGAAGCGAGCAACTTTGGCAGTGGCGGTGGGTTTCCTTTGTTTTTTTAAAGCCGGTTGGCAAAGTGAGGGGCTTAGATGGAGATGATAAAGGAAGAGTTACCTTTGTTACTGTTTTCCTTCAGCTGGGAGGAAGTCAGGCTGGCCAGGGGAGCGGAGCGCAGAGCAGCCCACCTCCACATCACTGTTCATATCTGCCTCTTGAGCAACTTCGGAATAAAGGCTGATTTTCTTCCTGCTTTCCGACGGCGGGATTTCGGAGGAGACCGTGCTTTCGCTGCTCGGATGCTGAAGATTGAATAAAGTGTCTATTTCAAATTTGCCTTTGGCGGAGATGTCCCCTATAGCGCTGTGCAGGGAGGCGGCAGTCAGTCTCGGGCTGAGGCGACCACTGTGCGGAGAATTTTCAAGGGCCTCCAACACCGCATTTCCAGCTGAGTCTGACAAATTCGAGAGCCTTTTGCCAGCTGTAGGGCTGTGCAGCCCTCTCTCCATCAGGATCATCTCTTTTCTTATTCTTTCCATCATCTCAGCTTTATAAAAAATGTCAAAGTTGCAGGGCTGGTCCTGTACTAATGATGAGCTGCAGCAGGGGCTAATTCACATTCAGTCCGGCAAGTGTCTCTAAATATTATTATCTGTTTTTGAGGGAGGTGTAAAAATTGTGGGATGCCAAAGCGAGGGAATGACTGGTCAAAATGACCCATACATCCTTTCTAGCCCGAAATGTCATTCATCAAAAAGTGGTGCTCGTCATTAAGGTACGAATGACGCTGTTCGAATAATCATTTATTGTAACAGGTTTATAAGCAAATAAATACAAGCTCCTGTCAGTGGATAATGAAGGCGGCTTCAGAGCAGACAAATATATCCAGGTGGAAAGAAAGACAAGAAGTGAGGAGTAAAGCTCTTGTCCTTAGCTTGATCAGATCTTGCTTCAATTGCTCTGGGGTTTGGCCTCTGGGGTGGAATTGACAGTCTGATTAATAAAATGAGCTGTGCAACATTTCCCCCTTCATTTAGGTGCATCATTATGCTCTGATTTTTGTTTTGTTGCCTTTTAGGTCCTAATGATGCAGCTTCTTTCTCATTTGTCCTCGGACAGAACTACATGCTAAATATTAGATAATGTTTTTCTTTATTATTATTTCTGAGGCGTATTTTAGATAGCAAAGCAAGGAAACGCTGGAAAAGGACCAGATGACCGAGAACCTCCTGCCGCTGATATCTCTTTACTTTTTCCCTCCCATTTCTAGACCACATTAGTAGTTTTATTTAGGAATTTACACTGACACCCCCCCACACTCTCTCACACGCGCAGACCTTATGCCCAGACTTTATAAGCCCGCACAGATATAATCACGCACAGATTCGAGTGTATCTACAGCAGTTACCTGAAAATTTAAATATTTATTATAATTTAGTATATTACAACTCTTAATTTTTTCTTCGTTGAGTCCTTAAATAAGATTTTTTTTTTTTTTTTACTTTCTGTAATCCTGCTTATCGACGAAGCTAGCCTGGACTTTTTCTTCCCTCTGGGACACTACTGACCGTCGTACGGTATGATAAGGGAGGGAAATAACTGAAGGACACTGAATGCATTCGTGATTTAAAACACTCCGCGGGTGTCCATTTAATCCTCCCGGCAGGTTTCTCTCCAGCCCTCTGCTTCTTTTCTCCCCACCGCTAATAAAACTTACGCATTTGAAAATTAAAAAATAATCACAGAATTAAGTGATGGTGGGAGGTATCGACTACAGGCTTCGAGCTATCAGAAACATCATCTTAGCACTCCAAAGTTACCTGTGGCTCAGTTAGCTCATCCCTCCGCTCTTTGCCGAGTGCCGCGGGGCGAAGCGTCGCCGCGCTGCAGGAGACACGGGCTGCCGCGCTCAGCAGACGTGACAGTGGGAAAGTCTCCCTTCAGCGGTAACTTAGCTAGTAATAATGACGCTGATGGCAACCATTTAAACGAAGATAAATCCTTTGTCGTTAGCATCTCTGGAGTGCGCTTCGATAGCTGCCCAACCTTTATTCTCGCCGTGATTTTTTTTTCACCCACATCATCTAGTCTTTAGACCCTGAATCCGAGTTTCATCGCCCGGAGAAACACCCCAATCAAACGCGGGTTTGATTTTTTTTTTTTTTTCTCCAAGGAGGACTGTTCTTGCTTATCTTGGTTTACACGTCTCCTAAGTTCTTGTACTCTTGCACATGATTCACAGTTCGAAAATGATACTTGTCAGATTTTTTTTAATAACGTGTTTAAAGTCTCTCTAAACATTCTACCAAATATTTAGGAAGCATTCTAGGCGTTGTTTGCAAAATTCAGCCTTCCATTAATGAGGGTTTTATGTCAGCCCTTCGAAATGTGAATTTAGACTGCTGTGAGGTGTCCTGAGTTTCACAGTCCCCAAAACAGACAAAAGTAAACGTCAACTTTTCCTCGCCCGGGGGCGCGGCGGCGGAGCGGCCCGGTGCGGAGGGGAGTGGAGCAGTGCGCGGGCCTCGGGGCCGCAGATGACACCCCGCGGGGTCTCCGGCCGGGCCGGGAGCGGAAGCTTCGCGCTGCCCTCCTGGAGGGACGGGGGGTGTCCCCAGGGTGCACCCGCGGAGCGCGCAGAGCATGTGGCACCGCACCAGCCGACAGGCCCGGCGCCCACGCAGCCCCGCCACGGTCCCGCAACCCCCACTTCCCCAGCCGTGCCTGGCTCCGCAGCAGGCGGCGGCCCGGCCGCCGGTCCCGGCGGGGCGGAGGCGGAGCGGAAACCTGCGGCCGGTTTTATTGCTGTCGTTTGGCGCCCTCGTCTGTTTTCTTACATGCTGTAACGCGGCGAGCATCTTTTCCTCCTGCTCTTTTGGAAACCGCAGCCGAGATACCACATCTCGGAGGCAAATCGTGTGTGCACACCACCAGAGCAGGCACAGCTTTAGACTCAAAAAATGTTACTGCACCACTAGAAAGGAGGGAACGATTTTTATGTTATTTGGAGCGGATGGAAAAGACTATGTGAAAAGCCCCAGTGTAAGAAAAATAAGTTACACTCAAGTGCGGCTATGAATGATCTTTACTAGGGTCATATTTTACACCTTTTAAATAATACTGATACCTTAGGTTATGTACAGAGTACCTTAAAATACAGCTAAATTCATATGCAAAGGATATAAAATGTTATAAGAGATGTTAATAATCTTCCACCAGGTAGAGGAGAGGTTACAAAACTGTTCCCTGCATTGCAGTTACTCAGTTCACCCCAAACCGTCAACCCCCAAATAAACTAATTGCCTATTGTTTATATTGCCAGTAAACTAGAGGCATTTACTGCACTGATATTCATCTGTTGGATTATTGTTTTCGTGTGTGTGTTGTTTTGGGGGTTTTATGGTTTGGGTGGGGTTTTTTGATTGTTGCTTTTGCTTTGTGGTGGGGAGGTTGTTGTTGGTTTTGGTTTTGTGGGGGTTTTTCCCCCCCAAAAAAAGAATAGCACAGTCTAAAAAGATCTTTCGGAATATGTTTATAGTTGTTCAAAACCAACAGCTAAGCCTGAAGAACCTCCGACATTAAAGTGACATTAGTGGGCAAAGGGAGAGGAAGTTACAGAGACTGCCGAGAAACTGCCGAAATATGCGAGCTTTTGTTAGACTCTGTTTACTCGGTTGTTCTTGTAAGTTTAAAGAGCTACTTAGGCCTTTGGCCAGACTTTTACTTTGAAAGTTGTTGCTGGAGGCATCAAAGAATATTTCAGTGTTCATTTATAAAACCTCACCCGGGGAAAAGGGGTCACGTAGCTTAAGTGAAATGAAGTTCGTATTAAATGAGACAAACACCGCGGGCAGCTTTTCACCAAGAGTGTTCTTGGGAAGACGAGTAGGAATATCTGTTTCCTACCCCGCGGCGGAGCAAGCTGCCAGTAGGGCCCCAGGGCGGCGCGTAGCGCCGGGGAGGTGTCCGAGGCAGCGCAAAGTCTCCGGGACGCGGCCCGCGGGGTGGGAGCAGGCGGCGGTGTGCTGGTCGGGGGGTGTGCGGGGTCCGCGGGGAGCCGGTCCCGGCGGGGTCCGGGGGAGCAGGGGCCGCTCCGGGGGACCCGCGCGGCGGGGGTGACAGCGCTGCCGGCAGGCGCGGCAGTGCCACCTGGCGGCGCCTCGGCTGCACTGCCCGTCCTGCCCGCCAGCCCTGCCCGTCCTACCCTGCCCGCAGGTTCTACCTGCCCTGCCTGATTTGACCGGCCTGCCTGCAGCCCTACCCGTTCTTCCCTGCCCATTCTGCCCTACTGTCCTGTCCTGCCCTCTGGCCCTGTCCACAGGTGCTACCTGGCCTTCCTGACTGGCCAACCGGCCCTGCCCGACCTGCTCTCCTGCCCTGCCGGCAGGTTCTGCCACCCTGCCGTGCAAACCCTGCCTACCCTTCCCGCCGACCCTACCCACCCTCCCTGTGCCAGTCGGAGGCCTCCTGGCAAGACAGCTCCGCACCCAGGCAGTGCGTATCCTGCAGGTTGAGCACGCAGTGCGCTCACCCTCAGCCCCGGCTCTCCCCTCCCCTCAGACCGCCATATAAACATAAGGCCAGTCTTGGAACGTCTTCAGTCCAGATTATCTGTAAAATGTCACCCACGAGTAAAGGACACGAGCACAGTATATCCCCGAGTCCCGCTGGCCCTGTACACCATCCCTCTCTGCACTGCCCAGGCGGAGATCCCGCGGGCGCTACACCAGGTTCATGGGTGCGTGGTGTCTTCTGGGGCTGCCTTTGCACGCAGATGGAGTTTAATTCAAACGATAAAGCCCAAGCCGGTCTCAAAGGGACTCGGCCGATGGTTCAGTTTAGGTCGCAGCTGCTGCAGCCAGCCGTGCTGGTCCAAAATCAGGATCCCGAGCTCCCCGCGTTGCTTCAGAGCGGAGGTTGGAGTCGGGGAGCAGCCAGCACCAGCCCGTGACCCGAGAGCTCAACACCCGCAGTGCTCATCCGCCCGTGGCCGCTGCACCGAGACCACGCGGGGAGCCCTGAGGAAACTTTCTCCGACTCGAAATGGATTTTTTAAGGCTGAAGTAACTAAAGACATAAGAAGCTGTAGCACATATCTGGAGGGGGAAATAGTTTAACAATTCTTCCTGCGTTGCTGTTAAATCTTTTCATTACTTTAACTGGCTATTTTTTAAAGTGGTAGGGGAAAATTAAAGCTGTTCTGTTTAGCTATTAAAAATTCTACGCAAGATAAAAGGTAACAACGGAACGCAGTGGGCAGGGGGTAAGGTTTGGGAGAGGTACAAATTGAGTGATCATGTTTGCGTTCTCCGTTTGTCCTGGGAGAGAAGAATTTTTTCCCCCCTACAGCAAACACTAACAGAAGCAAATTTCTATAGACACAATTACCATCGGGAGATCCCGGTGAGGGAAGTGATCAAAATTCGGGTTGTTTTTTTCTATGAGAGACGAATACTAGGCAGATACTAAAAACCTATGCTAAAAGTTTGAGTAGAATCCTAACTGTATTAAATCATTGTAAATGCACTTGAGGAAATGAGATAATTTCAGGAATTTAAAATATATGTATATATATATATATATATATAAACCTCACAACCTTTTCTTCCGGGGAGACCGCAAGCACTGCCTGCAGCGATGCTATATGTGCTTGTATTCTGGAGATTCCTGTGCAATGTGTCAATGGAAAATGCAGGGGGACTCGGCAGGGCACCGGGCACCCGCAGAAGCGCTGCTGGGGGAAGACAAGGACTGCCCCTTAGGCAGAGGCCCGGTCAGCGGGGTAGGTCCCTCTGCCCTGCCCGGCGTGGAGCGAAGTCTCGATGGGGACTGTCCTCCCTGAGCAAAGGAAACACTGGGCTGCTCCGGGCCGGGGCCGCGGCCTTCGCACGGCGCCACACACGGCCCCGGGGCCGGAGGTGCGGGACGCCTCCTGCCACTTGTAAACTGGGTGGATCCCCTCAGAAAACCGACCTTTGCTTATGAGATCATTATTTTTATTCGTGTGCATAATATCATGTATGCACGACATTGCTGTTTTATACAGCCTTCACAAAACGGCTCATTATAAAATTGAAGCTGTTAGTCATAAACCCGCCCAAAATGTTTTCTGGTACACCGAGGGGCTCTCACTGGAGCAGATGTCTCGGCAGGACTGAAGACTTCTGCGGGCGTCGCTGCGGCTGCACCGTGATTTGCTTTGATGTAATCGACCTCAAAAAGCTCTGAAACCCTGAGCCTTAGGTGATCCTTTCTTTCGGCAACCTTATTTGAAATGTCCTGACGTCAGAGAAAATTTCAACGCATTTACTGCAAGAGGCAACACAACGGAACGTGGGAATACAAATGGAAATACGTCTCATTTCTAGGGACTTTTCTTTTTAGCAATGTTTTCACTAGAAAGTTGCATTCAGGGGCATAAAAGGGTGAGAAACTTGTACCTCGACAAAACGTCCTCCTAATTACAGAGGGTTTCATGTCCTGAGAGTAAATACTGGTTCAACTTATAACTGTGCAAAACACGTAATCACGCCTGGCTAACTTCTTAGCTGATTATGAAAGATTAATATCAATTAAGTGGTCAGAGTTAACGAAAATGAACTCGCCTATGCCATCCGGTTAGTGCTGTAATTACTGGCACCCTTTTGTCATTCCAAACCCTGCTTCCAGTTACTGCCGACGATTATTAGACAGATTATAAAGCAGGGCAGAGGGACCGGCTGCTGCTACGGGACCTGCCGCGATCCCGCGGTAGCTCAGCGGTCCGGGGGACCCGCCACCACCTGCCCGGGCTGCTCAGCAAGGACACCCCCAGAGTCCCGAAATCCTGTCGGCACGGAGTTTCACCTCTGAGGAGGCTACCTCTCTTTTCTCATGCGCCTGAGCCTCCGTAGGGACAGTAAACACGGCCCCGGCTACATGGTTTTCATCGACACGAAGTCTCCCTGCCCTTCCTCTCGGAGCTGCCGCCTTTCACAACAACTTCTTGCCCTCCGCGCCCGGGAGAGGGCTAAGTGTCCAATACAAAACCGCGGAGCTACAGGAGCCGGTCACGAGGCGCAGGGGCTGGGGTTGTGATTGAGGTTGTGGTTAGGGCTGGGGCAAGAGTTCGGAGTCGTCTTTGGAGCTTTCTCTATTTCCAGCACTTCGCACTCCTGCAATTTTCGTCCCGACACAGCGGGAGAGTCGAGAGAGACGACAGAAGGATTTACCACAGTCTTGAGAAATCACCACGAGAACAGTCGTCAGCATAAGCGAACGTTGCCTTTTAACTAGGCTACCTTACCACGACATGAACTGACACTGCAAGGGAAAGAAAGCCACATCTAATGAGTGCCAGGTTTACCATCTTGCACCGCGCACACACATGGTGCTTTTTCCTGGCCGGTAGCAATATCGGGATAGGGGTGGGGGAGGCCAAAGGAGGATTCTCCCGTGGACCGAGATCTCAGTGAAATCAGGGGACCCCTTCTCGCTTATAACAAAACACTTCTACTTCATATATCGCCGGGAAGGAGGGAGGTGGGGAGGATGGAATACAAAGACTGTGTCGGGGTTTTCCATATGTTGCCGACGCAATAATGAGCTGGAAAGGTCTCGCTGTGGATCCGGTCAGACCTCTGTCCGCGGCTCTAAAGAGTCCCTGCCCGCGTCTTCAAAAGGTCCAGTGGTACTTGGCTGGCCCTTTTGAAGCCGCGGGCAGGAGGAAGGGGGGGATGAAAGCAACAGGGGCCGGGGTTGCTCCGGAGTGGCATCACTGCCGCCGGCCCAACCCCCCTCCAACACCGGGGCCTTGGCGGGGCGGGAGCTCTCCGGCGGGGCGGGGGTGGGAATAGACGGGGGGCGGGGGGGGCCGCCGTCGGTGTGGACCGGGGGGCTGCGAGGCGAAAGGGGCAGTGCGGGCAGCGGGAGGGTCACATGTTCCGACAGCAGCCTATGAGCAGCCCCCCGGGCTGAGGCAAACTAATCTGGGGCCGGCCGCCCCCACCCCCGTCCCCCCTCCCAACCTGGACTTCGTTTTTATAAACGTACCGCCAGGATCCAACCTGTTGGAGGCAAATAACCATACGCATCATGCCCGGTCGGGGACAGAGCCACCACCGCCGCCGCCCGCGATGTGCAAGGCCATGAGCAAAGCAGCGAGCTGGGAGATGGACGGACTGCGCGGCGACAGCAGCGGTGGCGGCGGCGGCGGCGGTGGCGGCGGAGCCCCCGGGCAGTGCCGTAATTTTCTCTCCTCGCCCGTTTTCGGGGCGGCGCACACGGGCCGAGCGGCCGCCGCCGCCGCTGCCGCAGCCGCCGCCTCGGGGTTTGCCTACGCCGGTGGAGGGGAGCGCTCAGGGGCGGCGGCGAGGCCCGACCCCCCGACCAAGGACTGCCCGAGCTCCGCCACGCCGGCCACCGCCCCCGCGCTGGGCTATGGGTATCACTTTGGCAATGGATACTATAGCTGCAGGATGTCCCACGGGGTTGGGATCCAGCAAAATGCCCTGAAGTCTCCCCCCCATGCCTCCATTGGCGGCTTTCCCGTGGAAAAGTATATGGACGTCTCCAGTTTGACCAGCACGAGTGTCCCCGCCAATGAAGTCTCCTCCAGGGCGAAGGAAGTGTCCTTCTACCAGGGCTATACAACCCCTTACCAGCACGTTCCTGGGTACATAGACATGGTCTCAACGTTTGGCTCTGGGGAACCGAGACACGAAACATACATATCAATGGAGGGCTATCAGTCTTGGACTCTGGCTAATGGCTGGAATAGTCAGGTTTACTGTGCCAAAGATCAGACACAGAGCTCACACTTCTGGAAATCGTCCTTTCCAGGTACGAGAGGGGGAGAAATGGTCTGAGCAGAACTCCCCTGCACCTCCTCCGCCTGCTCGTCCCCTCCCCCGCCCCCCGGGCTGCAGGGGCGGCCTGCCGAGCTGGACACGCTGCACAGACAAGCATAGAGCAGGGTGGGGGCGGCGGATTTTCTCTTTTTCTCACCCCCCTTCCCCCTCCTTACTCCAGAGAAAATCTCACCCTCTGCTTTCCCGCGGGACTGACCCCAGAACCTCCCCTCCACTAGCGCCCGGGCACTGGATGCCCGTCCCGCGGGCTCCGGGGCGGCCTCGGGTTCCTTCTGCTCATTCCCTCTGTGGTCGAGTTTTATTCGCGTTTGCAGTTTTCAGGACGATGGCTCAAAGGGTTGCCTTCTTCTACCTCTCTGTCTGGCGACTGATCCGGCCCCAGACCTCTTAAGAGACTGCAAGTAGTGAGGGCACGGAGGCACAAACCACATGCAAACAAACCCGGGAAACTCTCACCAAAGCGATTTCTCTGTGTGTGCTGCCGGCACCGACCTACTCTCGGCCCCAAAGCCAATGCCCCCGCCGCCCTTCATGCTCAGTTAGCGTTGCATGCCTGAAAAGTGATGACAGTCCATCAAGGTTTCGGTGGTGCCTTACTAACGTGTAAATAATGTGGTAGCGTAAATAATAATAAACTGTAAACAACCCGGCATTATTTATTTGCCCATGAAAACCAGTGCCCAACAAGTATTGGTTAAGTTTTAAACGCCTGTAATAAAATTCTAATTTTTCACATAATGTCTTTTACAATAGGGGACGTTGCACTAAACCAGCCCGATATGTGTGTCTACCGGCGTGGGAGAAAGAAGCGAGTGCCGTATACAAAACTGCAGCTTAAAGAACTCGAGAATGAATATGCCATTAACAAGTTCATTAACAAGGACAAGAGGCGAAGGATATCCGCAGCCACAAACCTGTCTGAGAGACAAGTTACCATTTGGTTTCAGAACAGGAGGGTGAAGGATAAGAAAATAGTCTCCAAACTGAAAGACAATGTATCTTGATACATTAGATGCGGACAGTGATGGATATATAAACTCAATTTACGACCAGCTAAAGACTCTTGGAAAGACTTGAAAATATATTTAATTTTTTTTTTTGGTCCTTCCAGTGGTGGCGAAATTTCGGGAATTGTTTTCCGTGAAAGTCAGCGTTTTTCTCTAAGTGTAAGGGAGTGTTGACAAGCCTTGAATTGAATTATAGTTCAGTTTCTTCTTTTCGAAAATAATAATAATAATAATATAATATTAATTATATTTTCTGTTCTCCCCTCTAGGCCAGTATAAAGGAACTTAAATATGTTGAATGGTTACAGTTATAACTTTCTTTAATGCTTAACTCTTCGGGAGGGTTTCTGTTTTGTTGTTTGTTTTGGTTTTTTGTTTTTGTTTTTTTTTTTTGTCTGAGCAACAGCCAGTGCCAAAAAGTGTCAGTTTTGATTTGGTATCGTAAACTTCAAAACATGTCGAATGAAAAAAAAAAATCGGAAAATGCAAGAAAGCCGGAATACGGACCTGTGGCAGCACTCGCCTTCTGCCAAAACCCGCCAAGTCCACTGGGACCGGAGAGAATTACTTGGAGGGTTAGTGGCTGTAGCAGAATTTTTAATTGCTTTTCGAGAGAGAGAGAATCTCTCCGAGCTGTTGCGGGGCAGAGTCCCAGGCATGTCCCACCGCGCTCCCCGCTTCCGCAGGTTTGGGTTTGAGGTTGGGCTTGGGGTTTCTTTTTGGGGCAGTTTCGTTTTCTGTGAAAGGATTCCACACTGCCCGGTTGAAAAAGGAGCCGTTTGCTCCCGGGAAGGGGTGCTTTGGTCCCGGGCGGGCGCTGTCGGCCGGGGGGCTGCGCGGCTGGGCACTCCGCGGAGACGCAGGTCGGGGCACCTGGGGGGCAGCGCTTTCGGCGTGATGGATTGGCCGGCTCGCCCTGCAAGCAGAGGAGAGGCTGCCCCTACAGAGGTGTGTATGGACCTGCGCAGACCTAGGGTAAAATGTCCGCTCTATCCTGTTTGTCCGGACCAGCGCAAGACTCTTCCCCTTCCTCCCGCCAAAAAAAAAAAAAAAAAAAAAAAAAAAAAAAATATTCCTCGTTGGATAAGTGAAATTCATTGCTAATTTTTAATTTACGAAAAAACCCACGGGTGTTAATGACAGCAGCAATAAATAAGGAAATTCAAAAAATGCCATAATTAATATGGGCCGAAAGGCTAGGATTTTGTCGATTTTGTAATTCTTTTAAATCTAGTGTGCATGTTATGATATACACAGGGTGATCAGACGCGCTAGTCAACTACTAGGAGAGAGAAGTGATATCCTCTCTGTTAATGTGCCTCGTCTAATTATTAAAATGTGTGTTCCAAACTAGTATTATTTATTATAATATACTATTGCTCTAAACACCTTGATTAACATTGTATGTGGTAAGACTTGCGATAAGTCTATTTCTCCATAAACCATATCCTTTTTTTTTATTTGTTTTTAAATCTGCTTTTGTGTTGGAAATACAGTCTGGACTTCCCAACTGTTACCGATGTTGCAAGTATTTTCCTGAACCGCCATTAATAAAACGGTTTCTTTTCGATATATATAAAAAGAGAGAAAGAAATTCTCCTTCTTTTCAGGAAGGGGTTTCACGGGCTCCAGGCTTGCCTGGGATCTTCTCAGAGGCACTTATGGGACGCCGTTCCTGGGAAATGAGAGGTAGATAGGACAAGAGGTGCATTAAAGCATGGAAAGGGGTATCCGAGAGTACCTTCGATGGGAAAGAGTTTTTAGGAAGAAAGAAATGTTGACTGAGAGAAATGTTACCATGGGAGGCATGGGAAAGACTGTCTCTCCCCTCTTCCTCCGAGCCCTGCTCGGCCTGCCCCGTTGCCCCGCGGCAGAGCGCGGCCCACCGCCCCTTTGTTCTCCCCTTCCAAATGGACCGGCACTTGCCGATTCCCCGGCCGTGGGGCGGTCTGGGACGGCCCCCCTCCGTTCGTTCCGCAACCCGCTGGTTCCATCGGGGGATTATCTTCCGCCTCCTCCGCCCTCTTCCTCCCCCTTTCTACTCCAATTTAACGTTCACGGTAATTGAGGCGTTTATTTTCCCCGAACAGATGAAAAAAGTCCATTTCTGAGCACTTCGGATTTTATCGTGAAGTGCGTTTTTGTTTGGACTAAAGGGTAAAAGGACATTTGTGGTACTCATCATTTACCTACCTGGAACAGCCCTCTCTGCTGATGCAGTCTTGTTTTCTCCGAATGTTTTAAATTCTTGTCTTCTCCCCCTGGCACCCCCACTCACCCACACGTACTCCTATTAATTCTACAGAGGTTTTTCCTCCCACCGAGTCCCCCTGAAGATGGAAGGCCGGGCACTGCCAGAGCTGTTTTGTTTCCCGGCCCCGGAGCCATCGCGGGCTGTTCTCTTCCTCCTTCCAGGCTTAACCTTTGGCTTTGCCGGGCTCCGTGCTCTCAGAGGGCGCTTTGCCACGGCCAAAGCCGCCTTCTCAGGGCAGGAGGAAACCCGAACTGTCTAGCAAATCGGTACCAGATGGAGAGGAGTCGACTTTTAATTTCTTAAGAAGATGCAGAATCATTAAGAAGGCAGCAGCTACAGGGAGGAGGACGGTGAGGCCGGGACACATCAGCCCGTTTACCTACCAGCGTAGATTGAAAGGCTGTTCTAAGCCTGGAGTTGGGGCATTAGTGAGCGTTATTCAAAACCTCCGTGGCTACAGCTTGGACTCTTCCAGGACGCCAGCTGTACGCGGCCCCGGGGCTGGGCTGCCGCCGCGCAGCCCCGGCTGTAGCCGGTCACAACCATCCATGTTTAGAGAAAAGGGCATGATGATTCGCTTTAAATGTAGCGCATGTTACTACAGATAATTAATATGTACCTCGACAAAACGAATTGCAAATGCTCAGTGGCGCAGTGATGCATTGCTTAGCTCCTGTAAGGCAGCGCTATTTCCCAGCCATGTCTGAGGCAATCCTGCCATCTCCTGGACAGCTCCCGGCATAGACACGAGAAACCTTCCCCTCGCTTCGGGAGCCGTGCTTCCGAGTGATAAATGAGCGAGGGAGGCTGTTTGGACACACGCAGAGCAACCTTCGTCTGTAAACTGGAAGGATATGCCAGTGAAATTATAGCATGTGGTCAGCTCTGATGTCCAGGCCGATCCGGATGCCTATTTAAAAAAGAGGGAGGAGAAAAAAAAAAAAGAAAAAAAAAAAAAAAGCGGAAAGGAGCGTGTGAAAGCAACCCTCCGGGTCGCTCTACCCCTCAGTGGCGATATTTCCTGTACAGACACAGGCGGGGGGACACCCGCGGCAATAACACACTGCCCCCCCCAAACAGCAGTCGGTTGAGGCTGGAAAAAGCAGCACAAATCCGTCCTAGGCTCTCTCTCCCTCCGCTCCGCTCCGTGGCCAGTCGCCTCGGGAACAAGATGTTTCTGTTGTAAATACTTTTCCCTGCAGATTGAAACATAAACACCACTTTCTGCAGCTGTGACTGTCTCCAGCTACTCTAGGTTTTGATTTCTTTTAATTAATTAACAATTATAGATGAGTTGAATATTAATTGAAAACTCTGTTTTCTCTGATCCCATAAAATTAGTTTGAAGTGTCACCTTTCTTTCCGGTAACTGGAACTCACATCCCTTCCTTGTGTTTAATAGGGACAAAAATATAGTCTTTGAACTGAAAATGTTCCTTCTCTCTCCCTAGAACCAAAAATCAGAGTCAGCTTTTTCGTAAAAGGTGACTATGAAAAAAAAAAATATTCCCCATTCTCTTAGGGAATGAAAAGTCAGAATACAAGTAAGCTAATAAGTGGGAGATTCAATTGGTAGACATAACTCAAACAATAAAAATTAAAAGCAGTGGTCAGCAATATCCTCCAGCGGCGCTTGTGTGGTCCTGTGTGGTCTAGGAGAGGGCAATCATTTAAAGATTTCTTCCAGGGCAATGAAATTACTGCAGAATATACCCCAATTTCCCATTAAACAGAAAGATGAATTTGATTAGGAGAATGTCAAGAAGGGCAACGTCTCTGATCTCGGCTTAGAAATAAAACCAAGATTAAAACTATGATTAACAGGACAATAACACGGAAAATTAACCCTACAAGTTTTTAACCGCGGTAATGAAAGCGGCGAAGTCCAGGTATTAAGGCTTCGCTTGACGCAGGGTTCGCACAGACCAGGGGAGATTCTCTTGGGAAAGAGGCCGAGAACAGAAATACCCGGTCCGGATGACGGATGTGCCTCCAAAGTGTCCCGTGGGTCAGTGGGGCGGCGGTGCAGGGAGCGACCGGGAGCACGGAGCCCGTGGGTACCCCTCCTCGAGCTCTCCAGTTCCTCACGAGTGTCTTTAGGTGCAGCACCTGGGACTTTGCCTTTCCTCCGTGGGAAGTCCACTGTCTCGCGAATTGCATGTTTTGGGAAAGGACACAAGCAATCTCCTCTGAGGATGCTTTCAAATATGATTTTACTTGCTCTGGTGCTACGTGGAAAATAGCGGAATATCCGGGTTCTTGTTTGGTCTATCAGAAATGTAAAGCTACGTATAACTTCCCAAAATAACACAGTAATAATACTGTAAGGGATAATTTTATTCTCAGGGGAGAAAAATTCCTCACACACAACCTGAGAGATGGCAGGGGGGTACCCAGCTGAGGTACCACTGCACTCACACCCTTTCTGCTGCAGAGCCCAGTATTTTCTTTCTTGAAGTATTTCGATTTTATTTAATTAATTCATTCATTCATATCAGAGGGTTGTTTAATAATTCCCTGATGTTGCTGTTGTTTTTCTCTGTTTGTTGATGCTTGTTTGATTGTATTTTAAGGATAAAACAGATTCCGAGTTTTAGAAGCATTGTTCTCCTAGAAACGCTTTGGAATGTAGATGAAAGGTAGAAGGTGTAAAAAGGGCAGGCGTGCGGACCTAAGAGAATACTAGGCATTAGTGTGCTAGAATGACAATGCTGGTAATGTCCAATCGATTAAGATTTTAATT